ATTTTAATGAAAACTTAGAGATTTTGGATTTCCATTCATGCATTGTTGTACTTTTCTCCCTGCCCACCCCTCCCCTCCAGTTTGTTCTTCTCTTTGAAAAGTAAGAGAAAAATTCTTTCATTGTTATACAATCCCTCCCCCCAAGTCCACTCTCATAGATAATTCTAAAGGGAAAACACAGGAGAGGTTTACCACAGAAAGACTCTCTTCATGACTAAGTGATTGAAATTTTGAACTGCTTTACATCAATCTCACCTCCAGAAAGGATAAGAGATGAAGAGTGCATTCGAAGAACTGACAACTGATTGAATCAGTCAGGTTATTTTATCTCATTCTCATTGCTATCAGGTAATTTTCAACTCATGTCAACTACATGTGTTATAGATGAAAATCTTCCCATGGTATTTTCTTGGCATTAATCTTCGCAGAAGCAGTTCTCCAGGCTTATAATCTGTTGCACTGTTAAATGGGTTTGAACTACTAGTCCTTCCCTTAGTTGTTGTTATGTGCCCAACTTGCCTGTGTCCCATAGAGACCCTATCTATGTACAGCAGCTCGGAAGTCTGCCCTGTCCTGAGCCTGTCTCACCGATTCTTACACACAAACCCCCATTGCCCCAGTTACTGTATCAATCCATCTCATCCAGGGTCTTTCTCTCCTGCTCTGTCCCTCCACTTTTCAGAGAATGATGTCCCTCTCTGAGAGCCAATCTCTCCTGGCCATGTTCCCAAAGCATGTGAGACAGAACTTCAAAATCCTAGCTTCCAAAGAGAAACTTGGTTTCACTCTCTCCAAGACACCCCTATTCATTTCCATGGCTGTCCACAGTATTATATTCAAGACTATTCTCCAGCACCAGAATTTGAAGGCATCAATTCTTCTTCTGTTATCCTTAGTCATTGTGCAGCTTTCTGATACATAGCAAATACTTGTGAAGACCATGGCCTGCATCATTGCTTGTCAGTACTCTGGAGAGGTCTCTGACAAAAGATATGCCTAATGCAATTCATCTTTTGATTTCCTGACTTCTGGTGCTAAGAGTGTTGATTGTGGAGCCAGGCAAGTTGTAATTATTAATAACTTCAATCTCTTCTCCATCTATCATGATGCTGCCAATTGGCCCAGTGGTGAGAATCTTTGTCTTTTTGATGTTGAGCTTCAATCCATAATGAAGACTACAGTCCTTGACCTTCTGCAGCAAGCACTTCAGGTCCTCTTCATTTTCAGCAAGCACAGCTATGTCATCTGCATAACATAGGTTGTTGATTAGTCTTTCTCCAATCCTGATGCCACATTCCTCCTCATAAAGCCCTGCTTCCTGAATGATCTGTTCTTCATATAGATTGTAAAGGTATGGAAATAGGACACATCCCTACTTCACTCCTTTCCTGATTTTGAATTATGTAGTGTTTCCCTACTATGTTCTGAGGACTGCTTCCTGGTTCAAGTGTACGTTTTGTATAAGCACAATCAAGTGTTCGGAGACTCCCATTTTCCTCAGTTAGCCACAATTTGTTGTGATCCACACAGTCAGATGCCTTTGCATAGTCAATGAAACACCCATAGACATTTCTCTGGTACTCTTTGTTTTCTACCAAGATCCACTTGACATTGGCAATAATGTCTCCAGTGCCACGACCTCTTCTAAACCCCGCTTGTATTTCTGGTAGTTCTCTGCCAATTTATTGTTCCAGTCATTTCTGAATAATCTTTAGCAGGATTTAGCTAGTGTGTGATATTTGTGAAATTGTTTGATAATTTCCACGTTCTGTTGGGTCACCTTTTTATGGAATGGGAATAAATATGGATCTCTTCCAGTCAATTGGCTGTGTAGTTGTCCTCTAAAATTCTTCGCATAACCTGGTGAACACATCCAGGGCAGCATCCGTAGTCAAGTGTAAACTATTTGGGCCACCTATGTACCTATCAATATAAGAAAATCCAATAAAATCTCAGGGCACTGGATTTTGAATGAGCTTCTGTGGTTAGTTATATTCTGTGAATTGTCCTACATGGATGTACTAAGAGGATAACATATCTCTGTAGATACAAGATTTTCATGTTTATGACCATCTTAGAACTTACACAAGCATCTCTCACTCTGTTGTGTGTCTTAATGTGTCATTGAGTTGATTACAATTCATAGTGACCCTGTGAACAAAGGCTCTGAACCTGGCCCTATCCTTAGCAGACCTCACTATCTGTGACACACTTGCTCCCGTTACCACAGTCATACTCTGTTATATACCTTTTTTGCGATTGAGAATAAATATGGGTCTCTTCCAGTCAGTTGGTGAGGTAGCTGTCCTCCATAATTCTTGACAAAATCTAGTGAACACTCCCAGAAATGTCTCTTTTTATTGAAATAGGTCAATTGATAGTTCATCAAATCTTAAAGTCTTTTTGGTTTTTTTTACCAATTCCTTCAGAGTAGCTTGACCTCTTGGTTTTCTCTCATGTTATTGTTATTGTGATTGTGATTGTGATTGTTATCTGCCATTGTGACTCATAGTGACCCTATATGCATAGCTCTGAACCTAGCCCTATCCTGAGCCAGTTTCACTGACTCCAACACACTTATCCACATTACCTGAGTTATTGTGTCAATCAGTCTCACACAAGGTCTTCCTCTCCTGTGTTGTCCTTCTACCTTTCCAAGGCTGATGTCCTTCTCTAAGGCCTGGTCCCTCCTGGCTATCTGCCCAAAGTATGTGAGATGGAACTTCACAATCCTAGCTTCGAAGGAGAAACATGGTTTCACCCTCTCTAGGACAGACCTATTTGTTCTCCTGGTGATCCATGGTATGTTCAATACTGTTCTCTAACAACACAACTCAAAGGCATCAATTCTTCAACTGAAGATAGAATGGCCATTTTCAAATAGAAGAATAAGTGTGAAAATAAGCTAACTTCTCTCACATTAACTGACTCTTATTTTTATTCTTCTACTATTAAAACTATGAACCTTTATTTCATCTCTTTAGAGTCAATTATTTGTCAGTCAAGTTGAAAAATTATATTAGTGCACTTATTTGGAAAGATTTCATTTAATTCTACTGTATCAGTAATGATGCTTTTAGTTTTTAAAAGGGTAAAGTTTTGACTCAAGAAGGGACAAGATAGTGCCATACTCCACCTTGTTCATTTACAACAAAGACCCAAGAAATCAAGTCACAGAGAATCAGATTATAAACTTGGAGCTCTGCGCATCAAAAGAAAGAATACAAATGAAGTTAAACACTGACTCAGGAGATCTCATTGTGCAGCTCAAAGGCAATTTTCAAGCTTTTTGTATTATTTTTTTTTTGTCTGATTATTGTGAGGTAATTGCTACATGAAATGTGTATTAAGGACTAACTGGCCTTCAGGGCTGGGAGGGTCAATAGCTCTAAACCTCGTAAGCCCTTTCATAGGGAGGGTCAATAGCTCTAAACCTCGTAAGCCCTTTCATAAGGGGAGAGCGGAAAAAGAGCAGACTTTTCATCCACGGGGAAACTGCCCTAGTGCCTTCAGAGAAGGCAGGGTTCTACTGGTGAAGTTCAGCTGAATGTGCCTGCATCTGGATCCATGCCTGTTCTTTCCCCTCAGGGCACAGGGTAGAGGCAAGAATAACAGAATCTCATGCCAGGCTAATTCATAAGATTGTATTACATTCTTTAGTGTAGGTAGAGGGATTAGATAAAAAACCCTTCTGGCCTCTGATGGATAACTGAGCGATCAGTAAGAGAGGAAAAAGGAACATGCACACTTGACAGTCTCTCTGCTTCTGTAACCTCCTGTAAGCACAGGAACTGGAAAGGTTGACAGGGAAAGACCTGGCCTGGGGCGGCTAGGTGAGGGAGTGGTTTCTAGACCCCTCCCTGAGGAGGAAGCTCATAAGGAGGCAGCTGGGTTTGGGGCAGGGAGGGAGTGCATGCATGGGCAATTTCCATGCAAGGGAGTGGGGAGGAGCGTGGTCTGCTGGGTTCATGGAGTCTATAGACAATGTACATGGATACAGGGATGAAGGACAGAGGAAGGGAATAACAGGGTTTGTGAAGGGGACCAGGAAGTGCGTAGGGTCAACTGTGTCCTGAGTGCAAAGCAGGTCTGAACATACAGGACTTCTGCTCACTTATGAGACTGCCGGCAGAAATGGTCCAGATCAGGAAGCATGTTATGGTTAAGAAAACCTGCAGGGGACCATTGAGTGTTATTATTCAATTTATATTGAGGCCAAGCTGCATTTGAGAAGTAATCCATTTACAGGGTTTTAAAACGCCCTTTATGTGTAACTTTTAAGGCACCTCAAAGGGGTAGATTGTAACCAGCAGATTGTCGGTTACTCATGATTTGATGGAACCCTAGATTTGGAACCCTATTTGGAAAAAAAGGAGTGAGGAAATAGGAAAGGCATCCACTTCAGCTTCTCACTTTTTGGCAGAAGGAAACCCCAAGTCTTCAGTTAGGTGTCCCTACATAGAGACTGCGGTAGGACTCTTGGAGTCCTGGAGGAACGGACCTCTAACCAGTACTGTATTTTAGAACCAGTATGAGTGGGATAGTAGAAGTCTGTTGTTAAAGCCTCGAGTTGCAATACTTAACGATGCGTTGGGCATAAAAGTGAGTGATCTTACAAATATTTAAAAAAAAAAACACTGAAAGAGTA